AATAAATTAATTAACATTCGAATAAGGAATAAGTAAAACAGATTTCCTTCTCTCCTTAATTCCAATAAAATTATTACAATGTTAGCTATTCACAACATAGATACTTACTATAATGGACAACAAAGCAGAACTGGGGAATGAACGGAGCCATATGCGACTTTTAAAGAATTATTTACTGCTCCCGACATCTGCAATCGCAATGTATGTATTTCAAAATGTCTTTTAAATTACTGAAAGCAGGAAACATGAAAGATCAAGTGCAATACAATGTTATTCCAAATTGCATTTCCATCCCACTTAAGAATGATGTAACTTATCGAAAATAGGCCAGCGAAGATAATCACAGGTGTAAACGCTCGGACTACTCCAGGCTCATTTTGAATTTGTAAACTTTTATTGTGTTAATTATAATTGTGTATTTATAAATTTTGTGTTTTGGAGGAAAAAATTTATATCATTTTTGCTGTGATTATAATTTGTAATCTGGAACTTTTGATAAGCTAATAGCAATATTACTTGTATAAAACTAGTAAACAGATTATACAACACATTATCAGACACGACATTATTTAATCTATAATCGAATATGTGCCGACCATTCACTGGATCAGTCACTGTATTCTTATATTCCACTTCAAATAAAATTTTCCTAGAAATTTTCATTTCTATAATGTGACATATTATTTTTAAAAATTTATTCATAAAATATAATATTATAGTATGTATTTATACAGCTATATAGTGTTTGTATGTATTATTTGCATGCTAAATAATTTGAATGAAAATATTTGAATTTCAAATAATTTTAATTTAATAGCATATTTTCAGGCCCATGCAAACATTTCAATTGTCAATATGAGGTATCATGCTAAGATTATGATAAGAAGTTGTTTTTTTTTTGTAAATACAGTCAATTATAAATTTATTCCAATAAATACACAATGAAAGTTCCTAAAAGTATACATATAAAGAACTTCAATGTGATTTTTGACTTTCCAGTAAAACTAGTTAAAGATTTAGAGATAGAAATGAGAGTTCCGTAGGGTGTAAATTTTTGAATGCACAATAAAAGAATTGAATCTTTTTCTATACAATTTTGTTCAAAAATATAAATGCAAAGATTTGAATAAATTCACGATAATAGTAGAGCCAAAGGAGAACATATAAAATGCAATGTACATAAGTTGTATAAATATACTTGCTAGAGTTTCAAAGTTTTCATATTAAAACGGTTTTTTTGAGCATAGAGGAGATTTTTATAATATATGCATATTGAGTTTATGTTCGTCGCAACGAATTTAGAATTTGGGAAGAATTTAAATTTATTTATTTTTTTTTTGCTCTAAATCCTTATAAGAAATTAATCTTCCTTTAATAACCCAATAAAAATAAAAACATAAACCTAAATTAAACTTAAGAGTTTTCTTTTTGAAATTTCTTTTAAGAACTTGAATCGCTATTACTTGCTCATTTATATTCCAAAAAATATGCTTTTTTTTTAATGGAAAAATGTTTGCATATACATCAAATTTTTTATGAGTTTCCGGTCTCATTTTATTTTGCAATCATTAAAAACAAACATAAAAACATATTTAATGCGATTATGTAAGTATGTTGACATGCAATCGAAATTTTCTTTTTTGTGTCAAATTTAAAATCGCAATTTAAAATAGTGATGTAATAATGAAAAAACTATATTTAAAAAATTATTATAAACGAATTCCTTACCGCTTAGATACTAAACAAACATTTTGAAGTCAATGGCCATTACCCATTTTGGACTTGTTAATAGGCCGTAAAATTGAGCTATTCTACGTCTGAAGATTTCTTCGATTATCAAATTTCTTGTTTATATTGACTATTTGACATTTACCACAGGTTTGAAAAAAATAATAAAATACCGTGACATTTTCTTTGAATGGACCATCATTTCAATGAAATTGTATTTAAATAACAAAATTCAACGATACAAAAAAAAATTCTAACTTTAAGAATTTAAAATGTATTATAAAAAATATTATACGTCCCTGCTTTACTCTGTAAAAGAATTTTTCTTCCAAATTCAACCTCATTCTCAGAAAATTATGTACCTACTTCGAAGTATGAAATATACCAAAATTCATTCACATGTTATATACATAATTCCATATTAATTTATGAACTTCTATGTTGGAAGCATTGTAATTATAATAAAAATTTTTTTCAGTTTAATATTTATTTACTGATTGTATTTGCATCAACAAATAAGTGAATAGCAAATGAAATATGTATGTTTATTATAATATATATACATAATATATATATGCATATGTATATGCATAAAATTTCATTTCAAATATATATCATAATTTTGAGGATGAAACTGCAATAAAATACAATATTTGCATTTTGATATCATATCATTATGCATTTTGCATCCATATTTAAATTAAGCTTAAAAGACGTCATAGATTTGATGCTCCGGTTTTAGCACTAATCTGATAAAATCTGAATTTGTAATTGTAAGGTACACTTGGGAAAATCTGAATCAACACAGTTATTTTTTCACAATAAAAATACAAAAGTTATTGGTGTAACAAATTGGATTGAATTTTGAAAGCTCATCAACTTTAATATGCTTTATTTAGGAATTATCTCCCATGTATTATAAAGGTAAGAGAGAGGCCGCAGCCCAACACAAAAGCCCAACACTAGATCCTCAAGTGAGCCCATCAGCACTATTACATCCTCTAAAACCATCCAATATTCTTAAAGAATCCTAATAGGAGTCGAAGAGGAGGCTTCACGCGAGAGCATTTGCATAGCAGATGACGAATATCCGCCTCCGCCCAATATTCTGACTGAAATTTGCAATAAGGCAACTTCAACTTTTTTGGTCTTGGCCATCTTGTTGGAGAAACAACGACACTGCAAAGCCCGATCACAATACTAATATTCATTTTGTTCAGAGAAAATAAACCCGCTGCATTAGTTTTATCTCTTCTCGGCTATCGCGGCCTGCTTCTCTGCGAGTTTGGATGCCTTTTCGAAATACCTTTCTTTATTCTAATATTTTTAAGGACTAAGAATTTGTTATTTTTGTGCAAATGTCGTACAGTTGGCCAGATCAACTCAATTTCTTTTAATTTCTATATAAATATATGTATGCGTAAGTTTTTCTATATATATTATATTTTATCATATTACCATGCACATTTACGTAAATTTGATTTTCAATAATTTTGAGTACAAGGTGAATTATTTTACAACAAATTTTTTTCTCCAGTACAAAAGCATTTGTTGTATTTTATTGTAAATAATACAGCAGCGCATTTATAAAATATTATTTTGCATACATTTTAATACATATATGTATGTAATTGTTCCTTATTAAAACTGTGGAAAACTGCACAATAATATTTTATTAAATTACTCGGTCGGTGCATATAGAGTTTAATGAAATAAAAAAAAAATAATTTTCTATTTAATTCTTCATTTTTATTCAGGTCAAAATAAATCGGGGAAGCACAAAAAGATTTTAAATTCGTATGATTTTGAATCAATAAGCAATTTTATAAAATAATAGGACGCAAACCCCGTAAATATAATATTCCTCAGTTTCAGTTTTTATTAAATTGAATAAATTGAATGAACCTAACGGCAAGTTTAAAACTGGACAAAAATTCATTCAAAAAGGCCTTGTGCAACATTTTGTAATCTTTCTCACGGGTAATCTCTCTCAAATAATTGCAATATTTATCGCCGATTTGGCAACAAAGGAATATTGTATACATAGTTTTTGTACTCTTTTAACTAACTACAGGGATTTTTAATATCCTTTTGTGTAAAAAAATTGTATAAGGTTTCAGAAAGTCATCCTCACTTTTGATAATATTGCTTTATAATTGTGTATGCATATATAGTTAGTGTTACGCCATAGAAATAGGACATATTCAAAACACCTACATTTTTCTGTCCTATTACAACAAAATTATTAGAAAACTTTATCAAATATTTAAGCAAAGAATAAATAAATAGCTTATTCAAGCCTAATATTTCATAATGACTAAGTCTAACGTATTTCAATTGTATAATATGACAATTATATTTATACAGAAATATTTTTTGACCTTCATTTTAAAATTACTTGTCTGGGTCTTGAGTTCTTATACAGATACACCCTTTAACTTATTCAATATACATAAGTGTTATAAATAACAATACAAAATATTACAAATGTTTTTATTAAAATATACGTGCATATAATAACCATAATATTAAATGTATGTACATAAATATATGCATAACATTATAAATATTTATGTACTTTTGTAATGTAACATGTATAATTCATGTGCCTCCCTTCAATTTAAAATTTTTATTTTTATTTAAATTTTATTCAGAAAACCAAATAATGCTAATAATCAATTTTCTTGTATTTTCTTTTTCTTTATTTTCATTGATGGCGATGATGATGATGATCTCTTTCTCTGTGCAACATTTTTTGATGTTTATCCAACCATACCACTCGACTGGAATTCGACTGATGATGATTACAATTGCTGTTGGATGCTGATATTGTGTATGAAAATAATGTAATTACATACTGAAACATTTTCATCTTTTGAACAAAAAAAATTTTGCTTTTGTTTTTTAACACCATATCGCATTATTCAAAACTATGTGTGTGTGTTCATTTCGCCGATTCAACTGAATTTTTATGTTATCCTGATTCAAAATAAAAATAAAAATAAAATAAATATAAAACAATAAATTTTTAATGTTGGATATTGTTTACTGAATTTCTTGTTGGATAACGATGCTCACTTATACGGGATCATATATTATGTTTACATATACATTAATATCTATATTTTTGAAAAAAAAAAAAAACAAATTTACAAACAACAACGAAATATGGCAAACAAAAAAAATAACATCATCTTTGTAAAAAAATTTCTTTCAAATTTATTCTTTCTTGTGTTTTTTATTTTAAATAATAATATCATGAAAATATAAAGTACCAATTCACAAAATGGAAGCTCTGACCGGGGAAACCATTTATCTTCCATGTAATGTGAGCACACATGATGTCGGTGATGATATCGTTCTTATATTGTGGTATAGAGAGGATAAAGGTACACCAATTTATAGGTAAGAAATACTTATGAAAATATTTTTATAATATAATATAATATTGTAATGTATAGATATAATTATATACATACATACATAAATATCTGCATCTAAATATTTTATTATTATTATAATTTTTATTATTTTTCCTTTCCTATGATGAACACAACAGAGAATTTATATTATAAATGTGCAAATATTTTATAAAAGATTTTACGGTATAGAACCGAAGAATTTTTTAGAAGCTCGTGTTGCTGTTCAAAAAAAAAAATTCAGTAAATACATACATACAATTATGATATGTATATGTGCATTTGTATCAGATTTTAAACCACACATTTATTTAAAGAATGCCATAATAATTTCAATTTTTAAAAAGTTCTACTTCAGAAGCCAATTAACCAATAAGATAAAGATAGGGATTCCGTTTTTCCTTATATGACCTGATCTAGACTTGAATATTTAATAAACACCCGCTACGCAGTTGTTTTAAAAAAGAAATCGAAAATTTTATTTTAATTCTACGTTGTTTCCTGTTAAGAAATGGGCAAAAACTTGCATAAGTAACTTCTACTCAAGTATAGTAAATAACTTTTCATCGTACTTATTTTCAAAATGTTTGTGAATAAATAACGCAACATACTAAATATAATTTTGTATGAATCAATTATACTGCTTGTACGCAAAGTAATTTGGCGATTGGGCTAATTTTCTTTTAAAGCTTATTTTCCAGCTGAACAAATAGTAGGTATTTCTGGGACTCTTATCTTTCGATGAATTCGTTTACTTACTAAAGAATTCTAACGTTTACAACGAACCTAAGCTTGAAAATTCTTGATTTATAACATGAAAAATAATCCTAAAATATAGGTATTCATAGATCTTTGTACATATTTTATTAATATGTAAAAATAGAAAATCATCATGACTATCTCAACATAAATCCAAATGCATGTGTGTACCTACGAAAATATTATATATGTGTAAATTGGTATCCATTTTATTTTATAATAAGAAAGGTAATGGTAGAAAATTTCTTTCCTTAATATTTAAAGTAAAAACTATAAAATTGTTTGTTTCAAAATATTACCTGGTATAAGAAAGCCTTGAGCAACATTCAATTTATTTATTACTCCTTATTGCTGAGGCAATATTCTAAAAACTCTATACTCTAAGTGTTCATAACGTATAATAGAATAATAAAATAATATTAGAGAAAATATTAATATTAATTTGTTGCATATATAAAGTTTACTTTCTTTAGAATCTTTATTGTAGATGTGCATAAGATCCATGTAAAAAAATAGAAATCTATATGGAACAAGAATAATTGAACATTATTTTAACAATATAATAATGTTGTTTTATATTTTATTGTACTTAAACCACATTACAAGTGTTGTATGTTAAAATTATATCTATTATAATGAAAATTGTTTTTTCTCTTAGATTTATGAAACTATAACGATCTTATATTATTAGAACAATGTTGACAGGAATTTTTATTAAAATGCAAAATTTTGAATTATTGTTAATATTTTGCACGTTTTTACAACATACTTTAATGGTGTAGAAGTTAAATAAACGTAGTTAAGATGAACGTGATATATAGACGCAATTTTATTATTCAAAAATTCTTTAAACTTCGAAAAAAGTTTCATTTCCAAGAAATTCATTTAAGAATATTGCACGCCAAATAAATTTATTTTTTACTTTTATTCAATTACCTTTCGTACCCAGTCCCTTAAAAAATAACAAATTGCTTAACACGCGTACTTTAGCAACAATACCGAGCAATTAATTTTCAAAGTTCAATCACACCTTCCATAAAATACATTCATATTAGAGAATACTTACCTATAAATATGTTACGTGTGCAAGGTTATTTTAGGCATGTGACAAATGCAATTAAGATGGTAAAAACGATATCCAAATATAGAATTAAATTAAAAAAATATCTAAAAAATATTAAAAAGCGACTCATGGATCATAGTCCAGAATCCGTCTCATTCACAAGTTTTCGTTTTCATTCAAGTATGTTCATTCAAAATTGAAATTCCGTTTAATTCTTATTCCAGAATATTAAAATAGAAAAGTTTTCTGAATAATAATGTATATGTACCAAACCAACCCACATTAAAATTTCTTTCTAAAGAAAAAAGAAAATTGCTTGCATAAAAAATATGTTTTGCCAAAAAAATTTTTGTAATAATAAGATTTCAGGTCTACAACCTACTCTAGTTGGCAAATAAAAAATTCTATTTCATAGACGGGTAAAGGAAAATTAATTTTGCAACATAAAAAAATAAAATATATTTGGCAAGCAATACTTCAAATTAAATTCTAAAGAAAATATTATAAGGGTTACAATGATTTTTTAATAAATTTTTTTTTTTGGGTACACACGATTTGGAAAATTTAATTAGTAATATAATTTTTTTTTCAACTATATGAGATACCGCAAAGTTGGTGTATTTTAATCTACCTAGGTAATCTGCCATAGGTTACTTATAGCGTATCCACTTTTTCATAATACATACTTCAAAAACATTCTGCAATTCTACATGTAATGAGGTTAAAATTTAAAATTTTTATGTTCCTAAATCTTTATTAATAAAAAATATTAATTCTATAGTTACATAATTTGTGTAATTGGGCATGCCGCATTTAATAAGCAATAGCTGTTGGAAATAAATATGAAATTCTTTGTTCCTTTCAGTTTTTAAATTTTTATTGAATCATATGACATATGTAACGATGGAAACGATGTAGACAGCATTAATAGCAACAAATTATAAAAATTAGCTTTGGACTTTGCCAAGAATTCCCAACTATTTTAAGTTTAGAGAATTCTTTTTTGTAGAATTTTTCAAGACCTTTGGAACGATAATCTGCATGGTAATTTTTTTTTAACTTGGGAAACCGATATTCGAAATAATTGTAAAAATTTCGTAAATCTTATCAATGATCTGCGAATGACCATATTTGATGAATTTTTTTGAAAGCCACTACTGGGACATTATAGGGGGAGTACGAGTACTAGTCCAGTAAAACAGTTTAGCTAAAATATGATATAAAAATAAATTCCAAAAATTTTAAAAGTTCATTTTCTAAAATATTGCTTTTAAATAAAATTTGTGAAATATTCTAAACAAGTTCAATTAAAATATCTACTTAAAAATTTTATTTCAAACCTAATAATTTACAATAAATTAACTACATAAGTAATACGAGTATGTAGTCTATACAGTATTTTTAACAATCTTACAAGAAATTTGAAAATCATAAATACTATATAGTATGTTTTTATATGAAAATGTTATACGATAACTTAAACCTAATGTCAGTTCTCCTTAAAGATCCCCTTCTTAATTCCCGTAATACAGATCTGCGTGAAATCCAAGTTTTTCCAGCCATAGGAACCTTATCAATCTATACGTTACAATAACTTGTTAAAATTATTATTCTGATGACAATTTTATACTTAAGTACTTATTTGGATTTCAATTTTGGATTTCAATTTCCAAAAAAACAAAATTCAATTTTAGGTAGGTAGAGAGCTATTTTATTATGTAACACGTTCCCATGTCATTCATTATTTTTTTAAGCACCCACATAACATAATAAAATTTCACTCAAAACTGCTTTAAATTAATCATGCGGAAACATTAATTATTATTAATGTATGCTGGCATTTATTTATACATATTTACAATAATTTTCGAAATCAATATATGTTTTTTAAATAATTAAATAGTGTTGATTTAATACAAAAATTATTTATTTTCTTTATAAATAGCATTTATAATTACGCTTAATGTTTAAACTCACATCCATTATCCTTTTTGTTTTATTCTTCTTGTTGTAGTTGTTTTGTTTTATTAAAATAATTGTAAATAAGTAATTAAATATAAAAAAAATTATCAAAAAGGTTAAAAATACTACAAGTATTTTAAAAATAATAATTAAATTAATTAATCAAACGTGAAATAAATTAAGTAAACTGGTGAAATTTAATTATTTAAAAAACATATTTCGATATTGTTTTTAAGTTTGTGATCTCGCTATGTTGAATTGAAAAGTTTTCAATAAAATTTAATCAATTCGATTAAATTTTTTAAGAGAGTGGGCCACATATTTTATTAAACTTTATGTAATTTTGGCTTATATGATTTATGTGTTAAATTAGAACTTGTTTAGTTCTGCAGAAATCGTGAGCTCTTATAATAGCTACGCGGACTACTTTTTATGAAAATATTGGCTTATTTGCAGTATTCGTCTAGTCTTATATGACATATGGAGTGTCATTGAAATTTTAGTAAGTTACTGATTCGAGACTAGATTGAAATTAATGAAATTAATTAAGTCTTAATGTCATCCAAACTAAGTAGGGTGGAAATTTATTCTTGTCAGTTTTTTACCAATCCGTTGCCCGCCTGTGTGCACAACTTCTATAAACTTTGAAATAGAAAGCTGAACTTTTATACACAAATGAATTATTTTGAAAATTTATTTTTCTAGTTATTCTTTTTGTTATCTAAAATATTTTTTGGATATCCATAAGAACAATTAATAATTGGGTGGGTTTTGCAAAAAAAAAATTTCTTGACTTGTTCAAGGGAAATGTGCTGCTATATGATCCGAATTTATTTGAAACAATATTGGTACAGACATTTGTTAAAATTTTGTGAACTTAAATATCTGAATAAACATTGTTGGTATTATTATTTTAATTATAAGAAAAATATTTTTGTTCATGATCAAATTTTATTGATTTTTATTTTTTTTTTGTGTAAATACACAGTGTCGATATCAGAGTTGGTGATTTAAAAGCTGCCAAACGATGGTCAGATGAATCCGTATTTAGTAATAGGGCATATTTTTTATTCGATAAGGATCCAGGTGAATTAGCTGTACAAAGCACAAAGGAATCAGACAGTGGTGTATATAGATGTCGTGTTGATTACAAAGTAGCTCAAACAAGAAACAGTATAGTTAATTTAACAGTGATAAGTAAGTAATTTAGATTATTATTTTTGAATATTATTTAAATATTATAAAATTTAAAGTAAAATGTGTCTGTTTTAAATTTTATCTATTATATAAAAAATTATATTGTTACTAGACTCTAAATTATCAGTTAGTTTTGATTTATCAATGGTATATTACATAAAACGTTTACAACATGTTATTAAAAAGTTCATGCTTGTAAGATATTTACGGGATTTTTTTAAAAATAAATTAGATCTTTATCAATTTAGTGCACAGTAAAAAAATCACAATAAATTAAAAATATCCCTGTTAGCTGAACACACGAAATTATAATATACGGGAACGCTTAAAGTTTTAAATTTATCAAATTTGCAATAAAAAAAAAACATGTTTTTTTTTTTTCCTACTTTTAATGGTAGCACTTTATTCAAATTTCATCCTATAAACTTTTTATTTTTCATTGCATATTTTATAAAAATGTACAATAGTGTTTTGTTAATCTAAATTTACTTACGCTACCTTGACGTCCTAAATTGAAGTGAAACTGAATTTACAAAAACGTTAATCATAAATTTTACTTACCTTCGTCACCTTTTTTTTCTCTCTTATATGGTTTTTTACATAATGCATTTTTAGTATAGATTTAAATATGTTCTCTAGTATATATATAAAAGAATTAAATTATATAGAGAATGAAACTTTTCATATAAAACGCTAGTACCGTATGTATACGTTGTGTAATGTGTGTAGATTATGTGGTACCTATACGTAACATTAAAATTTTTTTAAGCTCTTTACTGTTATACATTAGGAATTATCTAGGTATTTTTAATAAAAAAGTGTTGACAGCATTTTTATATTTAACATTAAATTTTAATGATTTGCAAACTGTAATTTTAAAATTTTTTTGTAAGATCTTTGCCATTTTGAGGAGCTGTTAGAAAGCCTTTAAAAGGTCTATAATTGCAAAAATTAAACGATTCTCTATTTAAGAACTTATTGTGTTTAACGAAAATATGAAATTGCTAATGGAAATTGTAAATATTGAAAAGACAAGTAACCAGAAAATTCCAGTATTTCAAAATTTTACTTGCATGGAATTCAAAAAATACAGGAGAATCTTTAGACTTTTCCGCTTTGATGACCTTCTTAAATAATATTTCGATAACAAGTGCTTAATATAAAATAGAGCTATTTTTTTTGGAAAATAGATATAGAGATATCAATGTTTAAGTATTTTCAAGAAATTCTCTGTTGTCAATAGTTGTCGAGTCTTACAGTGAAATTATTTTATGTGACGTATAAAAAATTTTCGGTTCGTAGTACCAAAAACATTAATTTATTTTGAAATTATGCTATTAAATAGGTAATTAGAAGACTACACTAATAATCAAACTATATACACTACTTTAATAGGTGTGTGTTAAAAATCTGTAAAATGTACGTACATATAAACAGTACCTATTTAGTAATTTTTTAATCGAAAATTTTATCAAATCACAAAAGCAATTATTTTTTATAATCTTTAAAAGAATTAATCAAAATATTATTTAACACTCCATTTATGTAAAATCAATGATAGACAGCTGCTCTGGACCGGAATACATAAATTATTTTAGTAAAAACTTTCAATAGAAGATTCATTCATATAAAAAAAAAATTCATAATAATTTAACATGTATGTAGGTATAATAATAATGGAATAATATATCAGAAAATCTGCGAATAACACAAATGAATGATTTATAACAACGTAATATATCTATATATTCATGTATCTCTATAAATATATATACATATATATAATATATATACCTACACAATACAATATAATAATGTATGATATGTGGCCAAAATTTTCATGAAAAAGGGTTCATACTTATATTTGATTTTAACAAGTTATATGGTGTGGTGCGACATTTAAAAAAAAAACGGAACAACAAAAATTCAGGAAAAAATGTAACAGCCATAAAGTGTAAAAAAAAAAAATGTAACAGTTTTCAAAAATGTTTAAAAATTTATTTCCTTCCCATTATGGTTGTCGTATCTATTTGTTGTTTTCCCTTGAAGTTGTTGGAAAATTTCCAACAACGGCGTCATTTCTTTTATTTCCTTTTTACACTTTAAGTTATATTTTACCATTATATGTATATATATATTCACGAATATACATATATGAAGATTTTGTGATGTACATAATATACGTATATGAATATTACACAGATGATGAAAATCCCATCATCATCAAAAATGCACTTTATTCATCAAAATGCAACAAGGATTAAAGCAAGCATGGGGAAAAATTCTATTTTATGTTTTTAATTTTTTCTTTTTTTTTTCATATTTTTGCTTTTGATTTTTCTTAATTTTAATTTTTTATTTTACAAAAAAAAAAATTTTTTTTTAACTAACAAAGTGAGGTATGTATGTGTGTATCACAAAATTTTCATATACCACAATACGTAGATAAACGACTCTACGTGAACATAATTATATAAACGCTATATACAGGCGTTTTGCATATATTATATATATATATGTATGTTAGTACGTATAGACTATATTTAAAACTATTAATTTTAATTTTGATAGTAAGCGTTTGTTCATTTTTATCGCTGATGACACTTGCGATTTTTGTTTTTTTTTTTTGTTTTCTCTTTTCCAATTTTATTTTTGGTGTCAGTTGTTGAAAAGTGGAACAAGTTCGTATATAATAATATATAGAGTAAGTCTATAAAGATAAATGGTATTTATCTTGATGTTGTCATTATGGTATGAAAGATAAAACTAAAAAAAAAAATTGAAAAATGAGAAACGAAACAAAATTGTTAAAATCTTTAAATAAAGAAAAAAAAAACAGAATAAATAAATAATTTTTATTATGGTTGCTATCTCATTAATTTTAAATTACCTCTTTCTAAAAAAAAAAAAAATAAAAAAAAAATCAACAATAATAATTAATGAATTCTTTAAATTTAAAAACGCTTTTATTATAGAAAAAGATTTTATATTTTAAAACCATCATCATACTTAATCCTTAATATCCTTATATTTAAGTTAATTAAACGAACTTGTAATCCGTGAAAAGATTTTGAGGCAAGAAGAATAATCACTTGTTTTTCTAACCTAATAAAAATGTAATTAAAAAAATATGAAAAATGTTCTGTTGAAGACAATCCAATCCTACTTCAAAATATGCTTAATTAAAAAATTTTCTTTTTCCTTACAGAAAAGGATCATATCTTAGCTACTTGAAAAGTTTTCGAAAATTTTTTTTGAAATCAAACATTTTAAAACTGTTATTCGGGGTATTAAAATTTAACACAATGATTGAAATGCAAAATTCAGTCGCATAATATTAATGTACACCTATTACAAAAATTTATGTACATATATGTTCCAGGATTATTCATGTCATACACTTGAACGAAAGCTGTCATTTAGTCACTTTAATATGGAATCGTAAATAAAAATACATTTGAATGTCTTCTCATGTAAAGTTTAACCTAAAAGATATAAAAGAATCTTTTATAAAAACTTGCTAAATAAAGCTTCCTGTGCAAGAAGCTTAAACAGTAGTTATTGTTCCTTATTTGAATATACAGTGGTCTGCAAAAGGTGGAAAATACTAGTAAAGTTAGTAGTAATGGTATATAGATTAAATTTTAGATCTCATTGTTGCGCATCAAAAAAAAACAAAAAAAATAAAAAAAAAATAATAACAAATATTTTCGAAAAATTTAGAGTTTTTCAAATACAAATTCAAAAAAAAAAAAAATAAAACAAAAATTCTGACTTTGATGAGATCTATCTTAAAAATTATCGGACATTTGGATTTACAATCTTACAATCAATATTTATTAATTATTACAATTAATTTATAATAAGTTATAAAATTTCATGACTTCGCTCAGTGCCATTGCTATTCTTTTATACAATTAAAATGTCTTACAATACGCAGCAATGAAATTGTGAGTATTTAAACTTCAATATAAGATCTTCAATTATAAGGTTTAACGAGCAATAAAAATTTGCGTAAAATAGTCTAAATATGCCATAATCTTCTACAATTAATATATTAATATTCCAATACTAACAACGAAAATTAAAATTCGGATTGAAATGTAAAGGAATATAAAGAAACCTAAATTGGTCTTTTATAAATTTTATAAATTTAAATAGCCTCTCATTCAGAGTTTAATTCACCTACCTAGGAAGACAAAAATTTTACTGCTCTGGCTTATTATAGAAGAAAAACTACTATTTTCCGAAGAAACAACTATATTAATATTAAAAAAAAATGTGAGAAGAGATGAAACCAAATATTTTAATTTAAAATAAATTTTAAATTTTCAATATAAATTTGAATGATCCTTGAAATAAACCGGACAACACTGCAATATTACCATTTATTTTATTTTAGAATACATTTGGGATATTAAAATAATTTTTTTTTTTGTTTTTAATAAAATTCTCAACAAATTAACATTTTTCTTTGAAAAAGTCAGAGGGGGAATAAAACCAAAAAGAGTTTTCATAAAAATTATTCAATTCTATATTTGCCGTCTTTTAAAACAAGATTTTTCTTTTCTTTTGATTATGTGCTGCTGTGTTATTTTAATACAGCTACTTTAAATAAAAAAGATTACAAAATATCCTTCTTAAAATTTGTAATTTTAACTTTGTTGTATTAGGGAAAACATTGTCATCACCATCATCATCAGTATTTGATTATAATATTATTATAATACGAGATGTCCTTACATTATTTTATGTATTTCAACTTTTTTTTCTTATTGTACTTTTTTATAGTATTAAAGAAAGAAAAGAAAATTTCCCATAGGCAAACATTCAAGCACATAACTGCTTTTCTTTTTCTTATAGTTTTTTGTTTATACTTTGTAGTGCATAGGGAAAAAAGCTCATTCGATTTCTTATATAGTTTTCAAAGGACCTTGAAAGTCTATCAACTTTCATTTCTTTGGTAGAAAACTGAAGATTTTTTCTTGTTACTCTATATA